TCAGCGTTTTAGTGCCTCGGTAGAAATTTCACCCCATTCTCCGTCGGGAGAAATTTCTTCCTGTTAAGATTTTGTATTTTAGTGACCCCGATCACCCAATCTTCCACTCCCAGAAATTTCATCCACGTCTTACTTTTAGGCTACCTTATAGTGATTTCAATCACCCCATCTTCCATTGGGAGTAATTTCATCCAATTCTTTCTGTTAGTGTTCTGCCTTTTAGTGACTTAAGAGACCACATCTTCCGTCAGGAGATATTTCATCCACTCCCTTTTAGGGTCCAGCGTTTCAATGACTTCAGCCACCCCACCCACTGTCGGAGGAAATTTCATCTACTTTTTCCTGTTAAGGTTCTTTTGTTTAGGGTTCAGCGACACTGACCATCTAACCTTCCACCGAGAGGAATTTGATCTACTTTCGCCTGTTAGGATTCCGCCTTTTTATCCCAATCTTCCGTCCGGGGAAATTTCATCCCCTTTTTCCTTTTCAATTTTTAGCCTTCTATTATTTTTCATCTTTGGGAATCAGTGCAACTTCCGGATTCCAACGAATTCATCCGTTACTTCCGCTACTACAAGGAGCAACACAATTTATTTAAAAAAATCCTGATTCAAGTATCGCTACTTGCACAAAACTTTCAGACAGAACTACATTACAGACTACACTACAGGAACTTTCAACTATTTGTACATGTCATAATATTAAAATTCTCGCATCGCAAAATTTCAATCAGTCGTACATTGCAAGAATATATTTTACATGCATGGAATGAAGAATAACGACATATATATCAAGTAGGTCGTGAGATGAGGCCGCGAAAAACGCATAGAGAGTGAGTTTTGTAGCGCACATCTGGGGACTATATAAATTCTTCAGTTTTGTATGAAAAAGAACATACCGATAGCATTACAGCTATTCCACTAACTAAAGTTGCACATTTTCTGTAAAACATGCTTCAAAAATCCTAATGCAAAAGTTGGACATTAGGGGATTCTCCGAAAATCAATATTCATAGGTTTACAACGACACAGCATTAAAAGTTGCTTTCATTTCAAAGAAACCATCAAACGCATCAATTTTATGCGATGAAGTCACAAATTAAAACCGTGAGCACCAAAACACAAGTACAATCCTGATGCAAAATTGGGGATGACCATAGATTTACAACCACACAATTGCAATATGCAATTCAAGAGCTCTGCTGCACACTAACACAAATGTGTTTCTGTGACGTTTCGGCTGACTAAAATCAGACTTCCCCAGATAAGCAGTTTACAACAAAAACAGCATCATAAGAAGTTGCTTTTATTTTATAGAAGCCACCAAACGCACTTATTTTTAGACAATCAAGTCACAAATTAACATAGTGAGCACAAAAATACAAATTAATCGGTTATTTTTCAGTAAGAAATTTACCGAAAACGTCAAGAAAATCCAATGAATACAGTATGTTCATAACATAGTGAACAATAATATTACAATTACTGTAGTCTTCTTTCAGTTTATGTAGTTGTGTATTTAAAACAAAGACAATATTATTTATAAAAACAGGACTTTCGATACTAACAGATGTTTGAAAAAAAACTAATAAACAGTATTTATTGGATTTGAATTACCTTCAATAACTAATTCACTTTCCTATGAATTGCGTCCGAAATCCTTATTCTCGAAAATCGACTTTTCCTCTATAAGAGTAGTGTTATTTTTGCAGTCGACGCAAAAACAAAATTCTGTGCAATTTAGGTTGCTTTTGGCACACATGCATAAATTATTTTGACACCTATTTTTTTTTACACTTGCAGTTTGCCAACTCAAGAAGTGATTCGGGGACTGGTAGTGAATCCATCTATTTAAATCCCGCAAAAAACATCAATAACCCATCAATGGTCATTGGGTGGAGGAATATTTGGCTTTGGTTCTAGGCAACAGTGATGAACTCATGACTGGTAATTTGCCCTTAGAACATGCTTTAGTGAATCACTGTTGGGTGGAAGAGTATAATTCATATGTTTGCTAGTTTTGAAAAAACGTGCCCTGGTATCATTTACATTTTCCATATCCTCTCCATACTGTGATAGAACAAATATTTGAAACAACATGAGTGTTTTTGGACAAATAAAAATAGCCTACCATCAAATACTGACTAATAAATAATTCTTATACATAATGCATTTTATCTGATGTACTACAGTCCTGCAGTGTTTGCATACTAGACTATATCTACACTGATCAGGATAAAACACACAGCCTGAAATGCCCTGCATTTTTTAAAACATGCGCACGTTCATGTCGACTTTGAACCAACTGACATTAGTAAAATTGGATATTTCCCCTCTTCCTCACAAACGTGCTCTACAAAAACGGTCATTATTTCCCGAATCAAATAGCCTAAATAGTAGCATAAGTCTGCAAGAATCGTCATTAAATTAATCATAAACCTTCATACAAGCATGAAAATACCGTATCGTTGTTTGTGGCATCAATGATGTCATTGGTGGCATACAACGACTAACATATTTCTAGGTCTAGCCTTTTTTGAAGTTACCGCACCGTTCCTATTTAACAACGGTATATGAGCTGGTGCTCAACTAAAATTGCTATTCATGGTGAGGATCGACAGGTGTTTAATAAGTTAATAACTTACTGATACTTTTTAACACCGTCTTAGCATAACTTAATTAATAATAACTAAAAAAAGACGATGGAAAGGCTACCCAATTCGCAAGAGCGGGCCGTACAAACTGAGATTCATCCGACCTCCAACAGCTGATCAAATTTTTATTGTTACGTCATGCAGAAGTCTGCGATCATTGTCCAATGTTGCCGGAAACGCAGAGAATATAGGACAGATGGTAGCACATATTTCTTGTAGTAAAAGCGTATTTTTCGTAAAACGTGCAACTTTTGGAAATGGGTACATGTTACTGAATTTCTAAAAAACATTTTAAAATTATTTCCAAGTACTGTAGTTCCCTTATATGCTACGAAACTAAAATATAAACGATGTGGATGTATAACCTTGGTGCTGGACAGCACAAAGATAGACAACAAGACTGCCGAAAACACCGTTCCATTTTTCCGCATAGGAAGAAAAAGGATTATTGGCAAGAATGAAGAATCCCTTGCAAGTTTGGCAATGCGAGTGATGGTCGTAACTCTTCAATGCGGGGCTTGCGGGCTCTGATGTTACCGGTACCGCCTACTGGTACAGGTTTCGTTATCTACTTTTAATTTCGCTCTAGACAGTTAGCCTTAGATGCAATATGTCGATGTTCTGAATGTGGATGCAACAGAAACTAGCCAGAAATTGCAAAATTACGGTACTGGTACGCAAATCACCGTGCATCAGGTTTACTAGTCCTGTCATCTCACGTCTGATGACAGGATGACCATCAGGTCACTGGTCAGTCGAGCCATGCGATGACCTGTTACTGTGCTGGTCTGCCGGTACCGTACGTACAGACGTAACTTATCGGTACCGGTAAGTTACAACACAAGATAGGCTGATTTCAAACTTGATTATAGCCCATTCAGCCATTGCCATGCCTTCCAATTACGGTAGTATGAATGAAACCTATTAGATAAAGAAACTAATGACAGAATGAGATTACAGAAGTTATCTTACTTTTCAATTCGGGTAGGGTTTGACAGTGCGGTACAAAATAAATTCTCTTGGCTTTCATACTGAACAATGCGAGTCTTTGGCTTCACATCCCCAGTGTTTTTCATAAGAATAAATTATATATGTACATTACATAGCGCAGTGCATCTGTGGTGGATGTACATTTTGACATCAATTTTTATTGTGGGTTTTCTAAATTTTACTTCATTTCAGTATTTTTAGTTTAATTTTTTTTTAATTTTCTATACATGAAGCTGCCCATGCTGCCATGCATACGGTATACAGTAGTAATATTATCGGAATCAAATGTCAAAATATACAGTAGGAGGTACCGTAATTCTCCGATTCCAAGATGTTTCAACATTTGGTTGAATATAACAAACACTCTGCGTCTGGCATGACAGCAGATGCGTCACATTGCACTATGCTTGTCTCGATATTAATTTAAATTAATTACAGTAATAGGTGCAAGCAGAACACTATCAAAGTCCCACACAAAGTTTTGTCTTGTATAACTTATATCGTTCTTATATCGTATATCAGAGAATATTGGTGATATTTGGCTCCAAGTACATTTGTGAACAGACCTTCAGTCTTGTGAATTTATACAATTATACCCCTCTCAAATCTGTTTTGACAATTGCCACAACCAAACTAAAACCAAATTTTAATGTTTTAGCTAGAAAAAAGCTCAAGGAATTTGTTGAGATTGCGATTTAATTTAGTTTTGCACGAGGCTTATTGTTTTCCACTTGTGCTCTTTCAAAACACTTCAAATGAATTCCTGTTCATAAATTATAACTTTATGTCACACTTAGCCTATATGGCCCGCAGGTCTGGGGGGCCAATTTTTCTAGTCCCTAGTCTGAAAACCTTGCCCACACCCCTGGTCTATATGCTAAATTGCCAATGTCAATTGAAGTGATTACATAATTTAGTAATTATAATCAAAGTATTCATACTGCATAAAGTCTGCAAGTTTAAAAAATCTTTGTTTGACACTATTACAATTGACACAAAATTGAGAAAATGTCATATGGTCATTACCTTGTTCATGTCTCAATCCAGCAATCGTGTATTTTTTCGAAATAAACAAATTTGGAATAATTTTTTTGATCCAATTTCATTTTGTTGGCTGTTTCTTGACCAATCTTAGGACCAAAATTTGCAACAAGCTGGTCGGCCATTGGTTTATTATTGTTAAAATATTCCATCCATTCATGATGGTATGATATACCGTAGTTTACATTTTCCAAGTGTGCTTCAGGCTTTCAGGAAACTTGGCTCATCTAATAGTCCTCTGGGCTCTGATATAGTGATTATAGTAATCGCATTAACCTAGTCCAGTCATACTATATGTATTCGTGGTCTAAATACTGTTTTTTTTTTTCATGTCATTGTAATTTTAGAGTAAATAGTATGGCCGATTCTTCCAATGTTGATCCAAGTAGTGGAATTCCAAATAGTGGAAGCACTCCAGGTCAGTAAATTAGGCTTTAGAATTTTTTTGGAAATTCAGTTATTATTTTAGGACATTTATTAATTTGAAATATGCATATTAGTGGTGATGAACGAAATAAAATATTCAGATTGGAAATTCCCACAATTTTATCTGATGTATAATAAATACTAAATGCCTTTTATCCATAGGCCTACTATTTTTAATCAAAGGTCAAAACTCATTTTCAAATCATCAAGTCATTTTACCTCCTAATCTTGGCTTATGAAATTGGTTCGTAAGATGCAATATAACGGTATCAAACACACATGCCACCGGCGCACCGCACTTCTGATTACCCTATATTGGTTTCATAGTTTGAATCCTATATGAGATATTTATATGTGAGATGATTACTGGTGAATAATATAACCACTGGTCAGTTACGGCTTCTTCTATATCGGGTCCATGCGTCTGAAACAAACAACAGGTTAACTATTCACATACCATACCCAGCATAGACTAGACTCTGAACCAGACAAGAGATTTCTGGACATTTAATTAATGAAAAAATGAATTCATAATAGTTCAAGCTGCAAAGTTTTAGTGTTTCCAAACTTATTCACAACCAAATTTTTTTTAAAGTATGGTTCCGGGTTATTCCCATAAAATATTTTGTATTACTTTATATTTTTAGGTGAAAATGGTGGAGGCTTCTGCTCTGGAAAAGAATCAAATAGAGTAATGAAACGTCAACGAGATGAGGAGGATGATGTAAGGGATAGTCCTGATGATTCCGAGCCTGAAGAGAAACGCGGCAGTTTTCGATTAAATCCTCCAACCTTGATTCATGGACAAGCAAAACCTGCACCGAAAGAAGGTTTGCAAAATAAGCTTTCAAGCTTTAATAAATATATCTGTAATTCTGCTTATCAAAAAAGTTTTATTAAAATACATCTTTAAATCATTGGCTCTACATGCTACATAAATATTTCACATACCGGTATGTCCTATCTATCTACCTGGATTTATGAAGTGTAGTTTTAGAATCAATAATGCTTTATTTCGAAATTAATTAATTTTCATCTGTATTCAGAGGGGCCACAAGAAGCTAGTCAGAAAAGAAATTTTCTTCGGCCCTCTATTCTTAGTGCACCAGCTGCTCCGTCTCAATCTGTGTCTGCACAATCTTCTGCAGCATCGGAACGTAAGTAAATTCATGAATTTACTTCAGAGTCATTTTACTTTAGCTATATTTCACTGAAGAAATTTTCTCAATATTTTAGAAATTTTCATAAATTTGTTCCCCTATGAGATGTTCAATGAATGATATGCAAGATAGTGGAAAGTCAGAAAATGACTAGCTCTTGATTAAATTGAAATATATACATCACCACTTCACTCCTATGTAGTGGGAACCAGGTGTTTGCAAATGAATTTAAAATTTGTTTGTCAAATTGGGCATTTATTGTCATCAATTTAATTTGAATTACAATTGTATCTTAACCTCTGAAAATAGTTATTCCTCACATTATGGACCTTTGGCACTTTAATAACAAAGTATCATTCTTGAACTCCGAACAGTTTAATAATATAGTCAGCTTTCATGTAGTTTACGTGAGCTACAATACATTTTCTAATAACTCTTTAAATTCTATCTGTGTTTGACTATCTCTTAAGTGAAGGACCTAGAAATAAACTATTTTACTGTGCGCCAAAGTGAAAAATTGGCAGCTGTATGTTAATTTGAAAGTTTGGACACTTTCCCACCAGCGTAAGATAGTTAGGAAAAAGTTTTGGTTTGAAGAGTTAAGAGCCAACTAATAGTGACAAGTTATTAAATATTATGAAATATTTTGAATCACAGTTCATCAAATTGTGATCTTTCACACACCCACTAAGCCAGATTAATTAGTCAACATAACACACTTCCAATTTGTTCTTCTTGTTATGGAGTTTATTTGTAACATGCTATTTATACAAGGACCATTTATGTCCAATGATCAATTGGCTTTAAAAAGTGTTTGTGATATCTATTAATATCTTATCTTTATTCTTATTTATTTGATAAACCATCAAACTGGTACTGGCTTTTCTATGTTTGTTCAATTACCGATATTGTCATATTTTTGTATATAAACAGAGGGTAATGAATTGCATGCTTTCATTATCTGCTCGTGTATAAGTGCACTATTCGTTTAGTTATCTACTTAACCTGCAATTTAATGTAATGTTTTCCATTCTTCTTCAATATCAGCTCAGCTTCATTTAGTATCATACTGACATAATTTACCAGTATATTGGAATTTTTACTTATCGGGTCTCTTTTTTAAACACGAAGTATTTCAAGTCTATACTCTATGCATCTGGAACAGTTAACTGGCAAATTACCACCATATTCCGTACCTCACTGAAACCAAGTGTGAGCTACCATTTGAAAGTTTTTTTGTTGTCTCACTTTTAAAATTTTATTTTATTTCTCAGCTGTCAATGGCAAATCAATACCATCTATATCTCAAGTACCTATATTGGGCACTGGGCTTCTTTTACCTGGTCAAGTTCCATCAAATAATCCATTTTTGAGAACTAATGAGGAAGAACAGGAGAAGGTCAGTTCAATATTTGAAGTGTCGATATATGTTAAAGTGAATCTTCTGAAGTACTTGGTTCGGTATTAAATATTCAGCCAGGAGGGTGATGGCATCTCAGTTGCTCTGCTTTCAAGACAAATATTCTTATATGATATTTTATGTTTCGATGGTTTTTAACATAGATTTCATCAGAACAACAGGTCTTTTATAAAATTTGCTGAAAATTGGTTCATCTGTCGCAAATTTGTTATAATTTAATGTGTGTGTATACTATGTTTTTATGGCTCTGCAAAATGTTGTGCAAATTTTGAGAGTCTAGCTTTATTTGAGCTTTCTAAATGAGTGAGTAAAACATGCTTGGGTTATCTTTGTGACACCTTTCGTTTAAACTAAACGAGTAATTTTGTTAGGCATGATACAGTACTCAACACTCAACAGCATGTTTGAGCTTGGGAATTTAATACTTCAATATAGGAATATTCAAATTTTGAACCTCTTTATAACTCCTATCTGGCAAAGTTGTTAATTACTTACCTAATTATAACGAAGCATCAAAAAAGTTTTTGATTTGTGCATTTGATCAAAACGCTATTATTATGATAGATGCTTTATTTTGTCTGCCATGATTGGAAACAAAATTTTCATTGGTAATTAGTAAATTTATATGCCTCAACTATCATTATCTGATCTTTTTTTCATTTGTAACTTTTACCACAACATGTAGCAAAATTTTTATTATAGTTGAATAGTTTAACTACCGGCATACATGATATTTGCTAAATATTTGCTTATTTTATAGCCTACTATAAACTGCAGTACACTACCGGTAAATATGTAGATATATTTAATGCTAGACATGATTCAAATGTATGTTCACTGTTTGGTTAATATTGTTTTGGAGGCATTGCAATTGTTTTGTGATATAGAATCTTATAATGGGAATATGGAAAATCTAATGGCAATTAAAATACCATTAAAATTTGTAAATGAACTCATTCCATGAACAGCATTAGCTACATTTGTGTAGACCATTGGTCTGCAACCTTTCTGGTGGAACAGAACACCAATGAAACATTCCAGAGACTCAAGCAACCCCTGTGCAGTAGTTCATCTTTGTTATCTAAATTGTATAAACTATAAGTATAGATATATATAAGAACAAACATAATACTGGCAAAACGAAATGAGTGAGGTTCAAAGTGTAGCAAGTTTAATCATTGTGGCAGGGTATTTGAATGTAGACTTTCGGATTTGAACTTGCCCCAGGGGAATCCCAGGGCCAGGGGTGACAGGAAACCCTAGTTGAAAACCCCTGGCGTAAACAATATGTTTTCCTGCATGGCGTTTTTTATGGTAAAATTTATATTTGGGTCTGTGGACACTTCTTTTTCTGTGCTTTTTTAAAGAGAATTTCTTGAAAATTGTCAAATTTCACCAGCTTCCCTGTCACGAAACTCGAAGCTGAATGGAATTTCATTATATATTGATAATAACTTGTAGCATTTCAATAGACACTCCTGTTTTGCAGGAATCGAAGGAAAATTTCCTTTTCCAAAGTACCCTTGAACAAAGAAATAAAGAAAATGGAGCCAGTGCTGACGTAACTGGAAGTGATCCGGTAATTTATATATATTTTTTTGTCTTGTGAAAGTATTGTTGTTAGTTTGTTAGCGAGAAGTTTCTCAAATCATATTTAAAAACATATCATTTTGTAAAAAGTTTACCTATCAGTTGAACAAACCATGAAGTATTTTTAGTCATCAGTACTGTAAGTCTGTAATGGATAATTTCCATTTTACACTTAGTTCTGGTCATATGAGTGAAATGCCTTGATGGCATCCTAAAGTTATTGGGTTCAAATCCTGCGCACATCATCACATGAATGGTGTGAAAAATTGTTTCGAATTGGGAAAGATTTGGGTCCTTGTTTTTAAAATATATAACATCAATACCTCTTCCTGATTTAGTATTCGAAGGCAAATGGTGCAAAAGAAAACACTTTTCTTCAAATGAGCAACCAAGAACCTGCATCGTCAACAACTAGTGATGATAAAACAAAATCAACTGGGTTTGTCTTCGGTAGTAAAATGGAAGAGAGAGTTGTGGTGAGTCAATGTGCTGTTTTCATTTTTTCACTTTAATGAAGATTTCCATTGAAAAATCAATTGATTTATACACAGCCCAAGCCTTGAATAACAACACTTTTTGTATTATAACCAGAACACAACTAGCTTTATAACCTGTTATAAATCATTTAATTTCAGAAAAATGAAGCAGATTCTACTTCTGGGACTACAACTACACAACTTATTCATACAAAAACAACTGAAGGATCTGATTTTTTATTTGGAAAAAATTTGTCCGGTCGAGCCAAGGTTGTTCATTAATCTTTTTAAATATTGTAAATTTCATCACAACTTGTAAGTTTTGACGTTTGTAAAACGAGACAAATAATTGTCATTCAAAAACTGCCAGCTTTTATTGTTGGAAATTGTGAATGACTTCTGATATAGTATTCAGTATTAATATGAAGCCATCTCGAGAACAGAATTTGTAGCATGATAATCTGCTAGAAGCGAACAATAATGTTATCATACTATCTGTGAATATTTTCATTGTCAGTCTTCAAAAAGTGAACATTTAAGAATTTTGATTTTATTATTATTGATTTGTAATAATTTCACCCGATTATACATCAATAACTAGGCATGTGAGTTTTGAATATTTTATTTTTGAATTAGAATATAGTACGACTTGAACGAACTATATTATTTGTGATTAAAAAAAATGCATACAATTGATGCATCAACAATGAGCTAGTCTTATTTATGACAGCTTGTCGTCCTATGGCTTGACCAAATTGAACAGATAATTAGTCAACTCCTGCTTATCATAGAGCACTAGTCATATTTTTCTTATAATTTAACTGGCAAACTAACAAAAAAAACTTAATTCAGGTAACATCAGCAGACTCTACAAATAGCACTTTAGCTACCACCCATGTTGGTAAGTTTATTTATATTTTTTAAGGAAATCACTTTCTGTTAACAAGACACTAGACAAAGCTATATACCGGTATTAAATGCACTTTCGCTATTGCACTGCTAGATACCTGTATGAGTTTGAAATTTATGTGTGAGAAGATTGCTGAACACTTGTCATTGCAGGGCGGCTAAAATAGTATTTTTGAATATGGACTATAGAATATATTTTAAACTCATGTACAATAAAGAATTTTTGAAAACTTTTTGTAAATTAATAGCAGTATAATGTAGGAATGCAGAATAGTTTTGATTGATTTTTTTTGGATCGAAAGTTAGGGAATCCAGTTCCTCACTATCGGATTTCAAATGCTCATATTGCTAAATTAGAATGAAAACATTCTATAATATTTATTTATTATATTATAGCCTATAGCAGGGATGGCGAACCACTGACCCGCGGGTCACAAAGTGACCCACAGCGTTTTATTTGTGACCCGCCAAGCGAAGGCACGAATAAAATAAAATGCTAACATATCAATGATAAAAATTGATAAAACCGGCCTTAAATTAATCTAACAATAACTAAACTATTATAATGTACCGTCAGTTGGACAGTCAGGAAGGGCTGCGATCGCTCATGTTCAAAATGTTGATTTTTGGGCCGGTATGGTAATTTTCAAAACCCCCAATCTTGTACGCATGTATGCACCGCTGTGTACCGTTATTCAGCTATTGGGCCTGACATCGTTTATGACATAACAATGCAATTGATCTGTTTATTTCTCGCAATGCCTGTCTTTTTTGGAAGTGCATCTGCAGACTGTTTTAGGGGTTATACGAGAACTAGATGCTACTTTGCATTTTATTAGTTTCTCGTCTACAATGCCGTTGTGAAAACAAAAACTCTCAGACTTGAAATAAAGATCTAGAAATCTGATATAACAATGGGGCAGTGTAAAAGTGGCTTAATGTGGTTGGAAGCTGATCGAAAATTATAACACTATCAAAGCGGAATTACCTCCAAACACTAGAACCGTAAAATAATTTAACGCATCATCCTAAACGTTTTTGGTAATTCATGTGCGTGTTTTCGTACTCTAATATCATAAAACCGAGTGCCATGAAAAGTCTCTGATAGAAGTGCTGCATAAGTAAAGCCCAAAACTACACCAACACCAGCTTATAAGATTTGTTTCAGAAGCTTCTTATAGATACAAACGTGAATTAAATATCTGTGACCCACTCTCCTCTGTTCCGCGATAAAATTATAATTTTTGACCCATTCCTTGAAAAAGGTTCGCCATCCCTGGCCTATAGTATATACCAATTTTGAATATGTTCAAATATTGCTGCTTTCTATTATAAGAATAGCTTTTGTTCTTTTACTTCTTTGTCTTAGAATCTGTCATTTTTCATGATTCCACACATCCCACGGTTGACGGAGTGTCGTCAAGTAGTCGAAAACTGGAAGAAGATGCTGCTGCGTTATTTGCAGCATCGAATACGAAACCCGTTATGCCAGAAGTTGAGATTAAAACTGGGGAAGAAGATGAAAAAAATGTCTTGCAGGTATGATCATCCATGATATGAATGAATATCAGAAACTTGGGACTGTTTGCTTGTCTATGCTATAATATTTTAATCATGGTGGCCTACGGTATTGGAGGTTAAAACCTCGAGTTCGAATCCCATGCCCACCACCTTAACCCAGGGTTTAATAAATTGGGTTAGCAATGTTGAATTGGAAAGAGTCCTTATTCCAAACTATAGTGGATTCTTACTAAGCAGTGGAAGCTTCTGCGAACCCTTTGTTCTGTTAAATATGTTGTTTAAAAAAACATCTGCCACACTATTTTGTAAAACTTCTATCCTTCTCACAGATCTTGTGCAAGTTGTTTCAGTATGATTCGAGTAATTCGAAAACCTGGGTTGAAAGAGGTCGTGGACATCTAAGATTGAATGATAAGCGTGTATCTTCTGTTGATCACACATTCGAGTCAAGATTGGGTGAGTTAGCTTGGTTATTTAAATCAATGGTATAATCTTTTCCTTTTTTACCACAGCCCATTGTCCATGCTACCATGGCATGTTTCTATTAATGGAGTCATCGAGTTGAAGTTGTAACTTCAGATTTTTTATGGTGATAGTAGTAGTAGTCAAAATATGCAACAACTCCTCTAAAGCATTACATTCAGCATCCTTAAGGACTGTTATTAAATGATTAAAGACAGTTTGCGTTTTTGGAGTGCCGCCTTTCAATAATTGTTGATATTGCAAACAAACTTCTGTAAAACACATGAATAACAACAAACTTTAAATATAACTTATATTAAAGAACAACTCTACTCAAACAATTTAATGTCTTGAAAAAACAATGCTTGAAGTTTATTTTGATATAAACATAAAGATTTATTGTAAATAAAATAATTGCTTTTTATCAAACCGTTTGAATGCCATGTTCAAGCATATGGTGTGCTACACTGGGTCGCATGCCTCATGTTGTGCACCTTTGCTTTAAATGACTGTGAGTCTAGTGTCAATTTTATCTGCTTCATAGTCCTGTATTTTACAGACTCACTACAGCCCTCATTTCTCGAATATAAATTTGTTTTAAAAATTTCATCCTGCATGATTTTAACTTTGATTAATGTTTTGTTTAAATATTCTAACTAGTGATGAGAACTCATGGAAGTCTTCGATTAATACTGAACACAAAGATTTGGCCAACGATGGTTGTTGATAGAGCGAGTCAAAAATCTGTTCGAATATCAGCACAAAATGAAGATGGTGATATTGGAATGTATCTTCTACAAGTAATTTTTAATATTACTTTATGAATGATAATTGAGTAATTTATATAATGGACATTATTTAAATCTTCTTTTTTATTTAAAAATATGAAATAATTACATTCGGTAATTGACTCATTCAAACAGTAGTAACAGTCGGATTAAGTGAATTTATTCAGCTTCTAAATACAAAAACACTCAATTTCAATTTCTGTGCATCTCCAATGATTGTACACATTCCTCTATTGAACATGAATGGTTTTAAATATACCCTCGATAATCAATATTGCAAATATATTTTATAAATTGTTTGAATAACAACAAAATATTCTGTTTTAGTAAGCCCCTGCATCCCATTAGTCAAATTTTATATATTTCATATACGGTAAATTCTGTATACTCATCGATATTAATATATATTGCAAAATCCACTAGTTTTCATATTTAGGAAAAAGGGCTGCGTGTTTTGTAGATAATTTAAATAATCAAGGCTTTATTCAGTATGTTTATCAAACCAAATTGAATCGATTCTGTGCTTAATAATCATGACTTAGGAATGATAAGAATAGTCTCGATTTAAAAATTATCATTCTGAACAATTAAAGTCTTATAATTCAAGCAAAAATATGTTTATTTAATTTTTGAAAAACTGTAAAAACGAGAACCAATGAAATTTTTTTTGGTTAAACTTTTATGCATTTCTATGTTCAAACTTATGGAGGATACATTTACATTCAAGAACTGACTTCTTCTATTCAATTAGAAGGAATTTTTCAGGAGAATGTAACTAAAATAGTAGATAAACTGGTTTGGCCAACAAACGTTTATTTCTCTTTGTCCACTTACCTTATACTATTTTAGGAGTACATTTTATTATTCCTATTGTTAAGAATAACACATCTATACATTTCTAAACTGGCCCTTCCCAGCAATAATTTTAAAGTTCTAAGCTGTTAATGAATCATTGTTATCATGTTTTCTCAAAGGCGACCATAAATGATGCGGAGCAAATATACCGTGCTGTTGAATACAGAGTCTTGCATCTCAAACAATTACAAGAACGTGAGGAAGCTATCAAAAAAGCAACTAAATCAGCTTCGGATAAAGGTGAACAAGAAGTTTCATCAACTGAAAGTGACCAAACCAAGTATGTATTGCTGTGGTTTGAAAGAAAATTTACTTTGAAAGATACTATTATCCCATATGGACTGATTTCATTTTAATATTTTTTCCACAAGTTGTGAAATCGTGCTTTTTTGTCATGCATTGCACAATAATGCTTTACTTTTGTCACCATCTGATATATATTTTCAGAATTAAGGGATTTAAAGAATCTTCTGATCTACCAGAGCCACCAGTGTCATCCTCTGATGCTCTTCCAGAATCTGGTAAATTTTTTGATTTTTGATTTTTTTTATGAGTTTTGCACTTCAATAAAAAATTCCAGATTTTCTCACAAGACCTCAGATAAGATAAGTTACTAATCATTATTAATACAAAGTTTTTTTTAATATAATTTGCCAAAGCGTGGTCTCGAACTATGACCTGAGAGGGAAAACATTGTTTATAGATGAATTTTATACTGAGGATATCATTTGCTTATTCCTGCCACCAGGATGTCAATCAAACCAGTAAAGGAGAGATGTGGAGCCTTTGTTTAATACATTTCCTTACTGAAGTTTAATAAAGCTTGCGGTATTGTATGGTTGTGTTGAATAAACTCAGTATATGAGTTAATCCCTTTTCTTGAAATTAGAAAACTTCCTTGAAAACTTTTTTATGATTAGAAGAACAAAATTTTAATTAATGTGATCAACTGAGGATAAAAGTCACCAAAACTATTATAAAGATGTTGATTAGAGCAGATTAGAGTTGACGCCATGATAATTTTTTCGTATTTTTCTTTTTCTTGCTCTCTATATATATATATCCACTTGTGTCCTTTCCATATCATGCCCTGATGAAGTTTTTCTGTATAGAAATTCGAAACGTCGGCAAATTACATCGTTTTGCTAACACCGGTTGTGCTTCATTTATTATCAATGTTGATTCTGGCTGTCAATTTGTCAACAATATACTAGTCTTTTATCACAACCCATGTATGTGAAGGAGAGTAGTTGTTTATTTCTTTATATTTTTTAGTATTCAGTGTCAAATTTTGCTTGCTTGAAAATGTTAGGAGTTGAAGTGAATTGAAGTTTTCCTTATTTGAAAATTGAAGAAGCTCTTTCATTTTGTATCATTTATTTGTAAATTCTACTTTGTACTCTTGTTGTCCTCCATATAGATAATATCACCACGGAAAGCAGCAAATCTGATGAAAGTGGAGAGATTGCGTCTTCTGCTGACACAGGATGTGGGGCTGGTGATAATACTACAACTGCCACTGAACAAGAAAGGACCATAAACACAGATGAATCGACTTGTACAGACAATCCCTCAAAACATGAATCAGAAAGTACAGCCCAAGTGGATCCCACAGAGCAGAAAGCTGATACAAGGGATTAACAACATTGGGTTGAGCATCTGTTGGAACCTAAAATATCCTTGGGGAAGCGATATTTTATTGATTCCATTGCCTATGGCAAAATTGGATCTCGTTGGATGCAGCTACACATTTCCACCTATCACACTATATGTTCCTTCCCACAGATCCTTGTTAGGTCGCCAAAACCGGTCTTCAGTGTTATAAAACTTCATAGAAAAGGCAATTATTCGTAACAAATATATTGCCAAAGACATAAAGTGTTTCATTAAAAGAAAGGATAACTGCCCAAGTTGGCAAGGGTAATGAGCAACTGATATGCTGATTGCGAGAATGTGAAAATGCTTATTGCACACGAGCAGTTGAAATATTAAGCTTTTTTCTATCAGAATTTGAAAGGAGAATATGGGATATGAAGAAATCCATTAGTGCTCATTCCTCACACAGTAAATGCTAAATTTTACATTGTTCTCTAGCATAAAGTAGAGCCAATACTTCCAACCTATATTGACAACCATTTCATGTCACCATTTTCAATTATCTTGTTTTGTTTGAAACACCACACAGATTCTTGCCACTGTATTATTACTGAATGTCAGGCCAAATTGTTGCAAATACAACAGACAAGGGGTTATCGATTTCAACTTTCAGCGGGTGTTGAAATTGCACGGTTTTACCACGAAACATGTTGCAACTTCACGGCACGGTAGACCTTTTTCAGTATAAAATTTTTTGTTGGGTCTAAATCAATGCTGATTCTTACTATGAAATATAAATAGTGGAATCGAATATTTTGTGTACAAAAGAACAAACATTCGGGTTATATGTCCACCAATCGTTAAGTCTGACAGTTTCTATGGGTCAACTGCCTAAATGGAATCTTAACTGACAGTGTTTTATGCTGAGATAAAAATGTTTCATTATAGTTTTTAAGAGAGGCTCGTTTCGGAACTATAAAGATCGACTTTTTTGAGCCGACATTGTGTAAAGTTATGGCACTGAAGTATTGTATATTTACTTTAGTATAGTATTTTGGCATTTGTAACGTCCCTTTTTATTTGATTGTCAATTGCTGTAAGTTTATGGTTATAGTTGAAAAAACGAATTTGTCGTGGCTGAATTTGTCAAATATCCAGCGATACAATTTTCATTTTTCCTGTGAAATATGTTATTATAATTTTATTTTAGTTTTGCTGTCTAAATTTGTTGCAGAAAATTTGAAATGACTTATGTTATTAAGGGTATTTTAATAAGTAATTATTTAAATAGCAAATATGAAAAGTTTCTTTTTTTCTCAAGGTTCGTGGCATCGTTCTTTTTGCTTATTTCTTTAATTTTTACTTAATGACCTTCTTTATCACACCTTGTTTCAGTACAACACTGAAAATTTTTGCTCAACTGATATAATCAGGCTTATAATAGTTGTTCCATTGGTAAGTGATGATGCTTAGTGTCTACTACTTGCTATCAGTATATTACTCTGTTAAAATAGTTTTTTTGTACCGCCTATCTGTTGTATTTATTTGTTTTACATTTGTTCCACCTTTTTCTATGCTTTTGGAATTGGATGATCAGAACATTGTTAATATTTCAGAATACGGATTACAGGCAAAACATTAAAAAATGCATTCGATTTTGTGTATTTGTGCGTCAATCTAACAACACAATTTGATTTGTATTTTCATCTGAAAGTGCACTCAACTACATTCGGACCTTTCTCAAGTGTTGCATGCATATTACTGCCCAGTGACAACACTATCTTCAATCAGACTGAAATGGTTGACATTGATAAACTGTATAAAAACTTAGTGATCATCTGGATTTTTGTAATCATTCGGTCTAGTATGTGCATTTCCTGATTTTGGTGGTAATTTCACAAATGGGTTAACTAATGTTTTTTTCATATTGCTGTGTCAAAGTCTGCACTGATACACTTTTCAAAACTAAATAAAGAATTCAATAAAAAGTACGACAAAGGACGGTATGCAATTCAATGTATATAATATTTAGTGTGGTGGGGTCCTGTAGTAATTAAACTTAGTGTTATTGGCTTGTTGGTCTACGACAGGGGTCACCAAACTTTTTTGACCGCGGGCCGGGTATGACTCAAATTGTGTTGAAACGGGCCGGATGAATATTTTTGTCAATGCAATACAATAAATTCACAAATGTTGGGAATATCGCAGAATATAGATCGAGAACATCCTAGGAAAAAAAAATTAACAAGATTTCTATATCTAGACAATTATCCTGAGTTTAGCTGTTATCAAAACGTTGCCGACATGAATTAGAAATGTTACAAAATCCGCGGCAAAAATGTACGCATCACGTCTGCTCGTAAATATATACTACTACGGCCTGCTAAGTACCGTTACGCCGAGTTGAAATACCTCTCATAAAAACGACTACCTGCTGTAGCTTGGATTTCTATGAAATTTTGACATAATTTAGATAAAATAAACAACTATTATCTGGTATTTGATTTTTTTCATTAGCGCATAAATTTCCCAACATTCGACGCTTTTAAAAATTACGCTCCAGTTATACGTAGTGCAAATTAATGATATTGTCTATGGACACCAATAAAATGTATGTGGACGTGTGTATTTCTTTCCTAACTTGATACAATGTTTATGAAGTTCGTACAATCAGCACATCGTTAATTATTACCCACAATGAACCACTGTCAAACTATCATGCACAACTCCAGCGTTTATTTGCGACGATCTTTCGGCGGTGTCAATGACCGTTGCCAGAATAAAATTCTGAAATAGTCTCAATATACCATAGATGTGACGCACATCGAAAGATTAGTGATTGATATGTGTTATTTTTCCATATTTAGTTCAGTTCTTATCAAAAAAGTAATACAATCATTATGGAAAAAATTGGCCTGTCGGGCGATACTAAAATTCCGATATCTCCGTTATTTCTTGACCGTTTATTATAAACTTGGTATTGTTTTCTATTTTTACTCAGATCTTTCAACTAAAGCAGTTTTTATTTAAATCGGATGGACTTCAATTTTTTTGTAACATACCTACAATATCCGCATTAAAGCAGTACAAAAGTTAGTGTGGCGTTTGAAATTGGAGCAGTACGCGAGGGATTACAGTACTGCACAAAATGCACATTCGACGTTTATTTTAGCACAAAAAACAAACAGTTTCGTCGAAAGCACGAGCCACGAGTGTAGAAGTGTATCGCAGAAAAGTTACGTACTGGTAGCATTCAAAGTCGCAAAAACGAAGTTTTGTTTACAACCACGACTGAAAATCTGTCAGGGTGACGAAAGTGTCTGAGCGGACGCGGAAAGGCCTATTATTACGTCACTTTTTTGCATCTTGCCGATTGGCCAATGTTACGAAAAAACAAAGACGACGATGCTCGTGAAAATCTCCCTTGGAAAAAAATTTAGCCATTTTTGTGTGTTATTGCGGACCGGATAAAATGACGCCGCGGGCCGGATAAAATGACGTCGCGGGCCGGATCCGGCCCGCGGGCCGTAGTTTGGTGACCCCTGGTCTACGATTTTCTTCAAACTACTTATAATGGTGGTGGTAATACACACGTTCGCAAAAGAGGATATGTTGGTAGATATATGATAAGATTTACATATTTATCCCGGGGGGAGAGGAAAGCCGATAAGACGGCATAATCAAATGGCGAACCACGGCTTCTCGTCCGGTTACCAGGTTGGGTTTGGAATTGGTTAGCCAGTTATTTGTTTTCGGAAGCATGGACTTGATGGTGGAGGAAGCCGTAACCGACCAGCGGTTACGTGAGCCATCTTACGGCGAGTCCAGCAATTCTATCGCACATGATCATCCCTGCATGGGATTCTAACCTGCCAACCCACGAAGGGTAATCAGAATTGCAGTGGCGAGGGTATTCCAAACGCTTAGCACGATGCGCCACACCGCCGAGCCCGTATCGGCCAAATGTAGACCGATGTATTTAAGATTTTAATCTGATCCAGAAGTTAGGATACAGATATTGAAATTATTTTTCGCATGGAGTCATCATGTTCGCGGTATTTGCCTCGTTAACTCTGAGCCGTTCTCCTCCCAACCCTCACGAGTAGAAACGGGATATTTTAACGAATTTGGCTATTTTCGCAGTAAAATTTTTAATATTAAACTATAATCATAAAGAAATACAGACACTACGTTACGATCGTTTCCTGCGATCAGTCCAATTAACGACCAAATTTGTCATGTAGTACCAGATTAAACTAAATTAAACACTCGTTTTGCGGGCCGCATGTCATGCAAAATTGGTACTTCCCCGTGGGCCGCCAGTTGCACACCCCTTCTTTGAACTGCAGTGTCTGGTACAGATCTTATTTCAGGACGAATGTGCGAACCGGGTATTGGCCATACCCCATACACACGTACTTTAGTAACACTGGGGAACAATGTTTAGCCACTTCGGAGGCTAAGTATAGAGTGAATACAGTGCAGTTTTTAACCCGCTCTCATAAAATACATCAGCAGCGACAGAGCTGACGGAAACGATATGGCATTACTGACGCAATCAAATTAGAGACGCCCAAAATCAGCAATATGGAAGTAAGCGTGTTTTTTATGCTCAGCGCGTTACGCCAACCGTCTCGATAACTTTAACGTAATTAAAAAAAATTGAAACAATATAACATTGGGATCAGTCTGCGGGAACGATATTATTAGGATCATTGTAGGGCTGAAGGCAGTAGGCACCCAATACATCGGATAAAAGATAACTTGAAGTTCATGAATGAAATTTTGCCTCTGCTAAATCGTAGAAATTGTCATTATTCTATTCTAGAATGGAATAAACATCAATTTGCTACAGACAAATTCCAAAATCATTTTTGATTATGTAAACATGCTTCAATTAAATTTTTCGTTTCAGTCAGTTTTGCAACCAACCAGAAAGTCGAACTCATCATCGACGCTAATTGAGCATATTTATACAAATCTCATTAATACCGAACTTGCACCAGGAATAATACTGAGTGATACTGCCGACGATTTTCCTGTAGTTAGTCTGAGCAAAATGAACACACTTGATATATATCAATTTACGAAGACTGGCTAGCTGTCTTTTCAAATCAATCAATCGCAGGAATTCATTGTACAAGTCTCATTTCATCTCTGGTTCATCGGAGCAAAAATATCACTCTAAGAAATATGCCAAAACTGTTCAGAATCCTTTTGAAGAAGCAAAGCGAGTTTATTATACAAACAAATATGAAGAAAGCAAATCTAATTCAAAGAAAACTTGGAAGACAATAAAGTACCGAATCTCCAACAAAAAGAATTTATCCTTCCCACAAGAAATTGTAAATGAAAATGGTTCTTCCACAAATATCTTTGAAAAGATGCTTTACTGCTATGTTCAGCAAAGTCCATAACAAATCGCTTCAACAACTAGTTTCAAAGTCTGATGTTTTCAAACGTCACGTGCAACGGCAGAGTAAAAATGGACTGTTAGCTGAACTAACCAAAACTAATACTCACTAGGTCCCGATATTATTCCATCAAAATTTATCAAGGTTACACCCGACATAATATCTCTTCTTTTAGCAAGCCTATTTTTTTTGTGCATGAAGAATCGTATTTATCTGACAATTTTTAAAGTTACCAAAATAACACCACTCCAAAAAGCAGGAAATAGTGAAGTTTTGTCACACTATCGTCCCATTTTATACTATCCCCATAATTCCCCAAAGTATTAGAACGTTTGATTCACAAAAACCACCACATTCGGTTTATATGCACTCTGAAAAAAAATACAGAGTGTCCCAATAAAATATATACACATGTATTGTATTATTGTATACACATTACAAACAACTGTAAACGTGGTGTTTAATTAGAATTTTATTATTTCAAAAATGTAAAAATATTTACAAGTATCATTTTTTGTTTTGTCATTGCCTGTTATCAAATTGTCGCCCACTTTGATCCGAGAAAGTCTGTACGACAGGTTGTCAAAAGGTTGAACTTTCAAAATCAATTTCAAGGTTTCAAAAGTTGTCACTGAAATAGTTATATTCCAAGATTAATCCATGCTCTTAATGACGATGATCCAGACCGAAGAATACGGTGCTCCGGAAGCATTCGTACCAAGATGATGCACAACCTGAACAACCCCAACACATACTGTGTTCAGATTGTGCGCCATCTTGGTACGAATACCTCGAGGGCACAAAGTATACAGTTTTGCGAGTGGTATTTTCAGCAATGTGAGGTAAATGCAGATTTTTCAAAAAAGATTGTGTGGGGTGAGGACAAGTTGAATGGTTCTATTAATTAACCGTTCAATAGTTAGGGGTACCATATTGTTTTGACTTCAAAGCGGGACGCCTCCAAAGACACGACCCCTTAGCTGTGATCCTGTAACTTTACAATTTCCGATTTTACTACATAGGCCTACATTTAAAGCCATCCCGGCTGTCTTAATTGACCATATTGTCATCGAGAGTTCATGCGCATAATTATTCTCTGTCTAAATATTGGGTTCAGTTCGAATAATAAAAAGAAATAGACGCTAATGATACACACCATACAAATTTTGTTGACGTCATGAAACAAAACTCCAGAATAAAAAACAAATCCCACAGAACCCACAGTAATTTTTGGGATACATATCCCTCTGCAGCGTTTCCCAACCTTTTTTGGACGCGTACTATTTTCTCACCGGCTAAGACCTTTGCGGAGTCAACGTGCAATTATTGCAACCGCACTCTGTGTGAAGAAGTAACAAAACCAAACACAACAGAAAGTCTTTGATATATACATATTTTATGCAATCTTGCGAATTTGTCGCCGTTAGAAAAATTCGGTTTAACTGAAGAATTCCCCCCCCCCTCCCGGACCCGTCTGAGGAGGAGATTATTCAGTTGGACTCACCTGGGGGCTATTCAGTTGGTTTTAGTTGGGGTGGAGATTCTTCAGTTGATCACGTTTCCCAACTCAAAAATATCCCCCTCCCCCAACCCACTT